TGTGTGTGTGTGTGTGTGTGTGTGTGTGTGTGTGTGTGTGTGTGTGTATGCATTCATCGTACCCAATTTCAATAGATATGTTTTCGTTCGTTAATGTATCCAATTTATAAATCATTCAACACATAATGGGTTGTTTAGAACATACTTTGATGAAGGTGTTTGTATATTGAAAACGAAATTCTCTACACAGGTAAAAAGTATCGGAGTTAAAAGCCAACGATGGTAAATCGATCATTGACGGTTAAATTACTTATTGTAAAAAACATAATAAAAGTGATAGGTACATCGACAAACAGAAAAAATAAACGATTGTGAATTATTTCTAGTATATGTAACATTGAAATCATTGGTTAAAGTTTGTATCGAAGTTTTACTGGTGCAAGTTAAAAATAAAACTCGAACTGATCGTTAGAAACCTAATTAATATTCTACAGATGACAAAAAGCAGAGAAAAATATTTTTAAAATTGTTGTTAAAAAATACATACCCTAATAATAGTATAAGACCAGTTTACCTGTACTATAATTTTTATAGATAACAACTTTGAAAACTAAGGTGATATGTAAACAATTCATTTGAACCCATAGACTTGCGAATACGAAAAACGGTAAAATCATATAAACGACACAAGTATTTCTTAAAATATAAAAATACGTGTACAGCTAAATTACACTCAATGGATACCGAACTATTTTTATTTTTTCTTTCAATACGCGATGATCGCAATAAATGAAGTGGAGTTTGGCCAAAAGGTTTGAATAAAATCTAATCATCAACAAATTAGTGATGTTTATAATTTTTAATGAACTGTTAAAATCATTAGACACAGAAACCATAATCTCTGGAATGCTCACATTTTAAGTACGTTTTTAAGTCCAACAACATTTTTGAAGTTAGCAAATAACAGTTGAGCGCGTACACATCAGTCCCGTGATATTGTTTTCACCAATGTCGTAAGTGTTCAGATGATCGTTAGAACGGTTTCGATATAGATATAGAAATGTGTTGATGTGAAAAATGAACAATTACTAATCCGTAGAAACGAAATCGCGTACATTTTTCCGTCACGTACCGATGATGATACGTGGTCGTCGTTCGTGTAACATGACCTACCATAATAGAACAACGTCAAACTTTCTTTTGGTAGGCGCAAATGGAAAATTTGAGAAATGACGTTCGAAAACGAGAGAAGAAGAACGTTTTTGAAAGAACGTACCGGGTCCGGGACACGGTCGAACGAAAATCAATACGCACCGGGGGCGACGTTAAATTTTGATCTTCCGACGAAAACCACACACGGTAGAGGAACGCCAAGTAGGCCGTGCGGCTATGCATACACGCGCACGTCGCGCGGTCTTGGGACCGACGACAACTTGGGATTGTTGGGAGGGGGGGGGGGGGGGGGGGGGGG